GTCACATTGACATGCAAGACAACCTTTCCCCTCCCCCTGGATAATTCACATTGACATGCAAGACAACCCTCACCCCTCACCCCCTGGCTGCTTCACATAGACATGCAAGACAACCTTCACCCCTCAACCCCTGGCTGCTTCACAGAAACATGCAAGACAACCCTCGGCCCTCACCCTCTGGCTGCTTCACAGAAACATATGAATTCTTACATCCCTCCCTCTTGGGTACTTTACGTACTCATGACCAACGTGCAAATTCGCTCTGTGCAGTGTGTGTATTCTCTAGTAGCCAGTGCTCATGAATGTCATAATTACACCGCTGCGCTACAGCTATCACATAGTTGCAGTGAGAGCTTCTCTGTAATATTAGGGAAAGATGAAAGCACCCACGAGTTTCACTGAGGTCATTATCATGCAGCTCGGTTGTAATTTCAATGTTCCCTGCGGAGTGCCATTATTGGGAGTCGAGCGATGTTGTACTGATTTCATTCATCTTCATTTCATATTCATCTCATGTTCTGCTCATATTAAGAAGTACCTACCTCGTCAATGGAGGGGTGTGTATGTGTTAATTTAATTCCTAGTATGTACATTGTTTATAATATTGCTAATTATTTAACACACTTTATTTGTAATACAAACATTGTATACATTATCATACAACACACCTATTAAATGCGCATGCGCACGCACGCACACAGTCATGCACATGACATGCGCATACTTCTCTGTAATATACAATGTTGTGCAAAGTAAGTTCTGTACCCTCGTTTACCCAGTGTGTGCTTTAATTCCTTCTTTCCATTTGGTGCAATGCTACAAACAGCAATTCTAACCAAGTATAACGTACGTGGCATTAAATCTAATGCAGTTATATGTTGTGTGAACTTACACAGGTGAGAGCACGTTATTCGTGGAGCTCAGTGAGACGGCAAGCATCCTCCAACATGCTACGAATCATTCCCTCATACTCCTTGATGAACTAGGTAAAAACCTGCTGCATGTGTCATATCTGCCATCGTTTCTACTGTTGCGACATTGTCTCCAAACAGATTAAACCAATCTATCAAGTGAATCGCGTGAACAGCATGTGAAGTATACATTAAATTCATTTTAACGAAAGCAGAGGAAATTTAACAGGGCACTGTTTTTTACAGGGTTACACTGGTTTTACACTACACAGGTTTTACACTGTTTTAACAGGTCACAGTTTTTTATGCTTTCAGTTACCATTAATAAATTATAGAATCATATTGTTTCATTTTTGCTATATGATCCCATAATGCATGCCCATATATTATGTTTCGTAAGACCTTCAGTGTTTATTTAAAAGCTATTTATTAATTGAACATAAATAAATTGCTTAAAGAATGGTCTGAAAAAAATGATTACGAAAATGAATTTCTTTTGGAGTGGTAGGCCTATTATGGGTGTGTGTGGGGGGGGGGGGGGGGGGGGGGGGGGGGGGGGGGGGGGGAGGGTGTACAGCATAATTTCACTCTAATGATATATATATACAAGTGCATGTGTTAAGCATTCTAATTTGAGTCTGCTAGGAATTTAATAACTACATGGTCATCAAGTGCATAGAATAGGGAGTCCTAATCTTGGGTACTTAATGCAGCTGCCACTTTCATAGATGTTGTGGGAATTGAATGCTATTGCATTTGTGTAGCACAGGGCCGTTGAGTATTGATGTGTGGTTCAGGATACGTGATCTCATTGCTTGCAAATAACATCAGACTGTCATGCTGTTTCTTGTGAATGAAAGGCTGGAATGATAGTAATGGGAAGGTGGTATGCTCTGTAATCTAGATAAAGATCCATTTCTATGATAGACCATTTGTTAATTACCAGTTAATTACTAAGATGTTGCTTGTCATATATGTACCTACTATGACTACGATACACCCTGCCTGTGAGGCGGTGTAATCCAATCTGTGGCCATACGGTTATTTCAAGGCAAGTTGATTCCCAAGAAGAAGTTTCCTAATATCCAGAAGACTCCAGAAGAATTGATTACGCGTAGTATATCTATATCATAGCAGAATGTGATACTACAATTATAATATAAATACATATTCCGTTTTCCACGTAATCCTAGCATCGACATAGAACACACGGTGGTTCTTAATTACTGTAGGCTGAGTGACGTGTGATAGAGAGACAGGTGCTGTTTCTCATAACTGAATCTGTGTGGTAAATTCCCCACATAACAACATGGCTAATCCGTTTTCCGTGGTTGTTGTGCAGGCAGAGGCACGGCGACGTACGATGGCACGGCCATCGCCTGTGCTGTCGTGCAGGAGCTATCCCAGAGAGGGCGCTGTCGTACACTCTTCTCAACACACTACCACTCCCTGGTGGAAGAGTTTGCACATGACCCGAACGTCAGGCTCGGACATATGGTCAGTGACCTTGTTTATCCAAACAATACATAATTTAAAAGATACAGGATATACAGATTTGTAAAGAAACTATAATTGCATGTTTAAATTTTAAATGAAGGCTTCACGAACGCAAAGGCTACGTTTTCCTTCTCGAATTTATATTTTTTTATCTAAAAATCAATGAATTTATTTGCATTTAATTTAATTAAAATTTAATCTTATGCATATTGCATAAATCCATCTTATTACAAAGGCATCTTTATTATGCATACAAACTGAGTTGATACTACCGAAGAAGTAGTGATCATGCTAACATAATCTAAATAAAACAAGCAAAGCATTAGTGAGAAATTATTGAGACATTTCAAGGTTACACGTGTTTTATAAAGTTACATTTGGCATTTAAATTATATTGCTACCAGCTCGAACTTGTTGACAATCGTGTTGGTATCTTTTTATTTAATTAGTAATGTGTATTATTTGAATTGGTCATCACAATAAAAAACCGAATGAGATGGCTGGAAGAGAACCTTCTCATTATGTTTTTATTTTTGGCTGCAGGCCTGCATGGTGGAGAACGAGAATGACGAGGATGTTTCCAAAGAAACCATAACCTTCCTTTACAAGTTTGTACATGGCGCCTGCCCAAAGAGTTACGGCTTCAATGCTGCAAAACTAGCAGGAATACCTGATACGGTAATGATCCCTCTTGGGTTGGTTTGGGTTGGTTTGGGTGGTATTATGGTCTGGGTTGTATTATTCCATCTGTTGGTATCCTTTTTATCATTCGAATTTAGTGTTAACTCCTTATTGTGCATAACTGTGTATAAATATATCGTCTATAAGTATCCATTTAACGAGTCTTTTATCCAAATATATATATACATACACATGCACATATGCACACACGTACACGTGGGTGTTAGCACTCTAGTCACTATGCGTACAAATTAGGTCCACGACAAAGGTCAACATTAAGTCCACTAATTATCAAACCACAAGAACCATTATCTGCCCAATTACTTGTAATAGTGATGCTTGATTAATTACCCCCAAACGTTTTTAGTTTCAAATTGGTATAAATCATGATGAAAAACAATCATTAAGGGCCGGACACACTAGGCGATGGCATCGGGCGATGTAATCGCCGTGAAAATCGCCTCACGTGCGTCCACGTCAATCGCCGCGATTTCATCGCCCGATGTCATCGCCCCCCCCCCCACTGATGCCATCGGCACAGATCAAGAACGTTTTGATATTATCGCCGATGACTCGCCCGATGCATCGCCTAGTGTGTCCGCGGCCGCGGAAAACATTGCCCGATTGTACATCATTCATAGCCAATGAAACAAACAAGCAGCACATGCATAATTTCTGATCACTGAACCAGATAGTGAACACAATGCGCGAAATCACAATGTTTTTTTTTTCCAGCACAACGGCGCTGCGTGTAAATCGGCCCGATTTAATCGCCTAGTGTGTCCACTCGACTGCGTAGCGATAGAATTGGGCATTACATCGCCCGATGCCCATCGCCTAGTGTGTCCGGCCCTTTAGCTGCCCTACAGTTTGAGTTTGCCCCCACTGTGCCATTCCTAGCTACAAATCCAGCTGTTTTAATAGTAGTGATTACTTTACATTCTGATCTAATGAGAATGTTTCCAACTGTTCTCCCATGTTATCTTACGCAATTACTGCTATTCTGCTTTTGCAATAAACACACCAAATCCAGTTTCCAACTTCACTTACCGAAATTAGAAAGCATACCTACATATTAACTGCTTAGACAAAGTCCATACGTTAGCTTTGTGCTCTATTCGAATATCAGATTCAATGCATTATAATTTTCTGTTTCAGATTAGGTTTGCCTTCCATAATTGTGTCACTAATGTTCCCGCAAGGATGTAATCCTTGATGCATCGATGTAATCCTACATTTCTTGAAGGAAGCTATGTTTTCTTTTTATCAGATAATAAAGAATGGTCATGCTAAGGCAAAGGAGTTGGAAATGTCATTAGAGAGGATAAAGATTTTCAGGTATGGTATTATACACATCATTGTATCCCCCGCGACGAAGTCTGCCGGGATACTATGGTTTCATGTCTCCCCAGCCGCTGCCGCCGCCGCTCGGGCCGCCGCAGATAATTTCCCTTCCGCTCTATAACTCGACCCCTAATTGACCTAGCGTGACCAAACTTGGTATACTTACAAATCTTGGGGAGAAGGTGTGCAGCGAACCAAAACCAGGTCACTGCGACCTTATTTGACCTTGATATATTTCCCTTCGCTCTTTAACTCAGGCCCCTAATTGACATAGCGCCTACCAAACTTGGTATACTTACACATCTTGGGGCAGAAGGTGAGCCAGCGAACCAAACCACGGTCACTGCGACCTTTATTTGACCTTTACCTTGACCTTGATCATATTTCCCTTCCGCTCTCTAACTCTGCGGCTCACCTAATTGACCTAGCCGCTACCAAACTTGGTATACTTACACATCTTGGGGAGAAGGTGAGCAGCGATCAAAACCAAGGTCACTGCGACCTTTATTGACCTTTCACCTTAGACCGTTGATCATGATTTCCCACCTTGCCGCTCTTCCTAACTGGGCCCCTAATGGACCTAGCGCTACCAAACTTGGTTAACTGTACAACATCTTGGGGAGAAGTTGGACAGTCCAGCGATCCAAAACCGTGTCACTGCGACCTTTATTTGACCTGTTACTTGACCTGATCATATTTGCTTTTCCGCTCTTTAAGCTCGGGACCCCTTAATTGACCCTAGCGCTCCAAAACTTGTATACTGTACACACTTGGGGGGAATGAGTGGAGCAGCCATACCACCACCGGTCATGCGATCTATTAATTTGACCTTTGATCCTATTTCCCTCCGCTCCTTAACGCTCGGCCCCTAATTGACCCTAGCCGCTACCCCAAACTTGGTCTACGTCTATCAACATCTTGGGGAGAAGTGGCACCGATTACCAAACCAGGTCATAGCCCGATCTTTTTGACCTTCTACTCATTGAACCTTTGCTCATATTTTCCTTCCCGCTCTCAAAACTCGCCGTAATTGACCTACGCTAAACCACAAAACCAGGTCACGTACGACTTTTATTTGCCTTTACCCTTGACCTTGATCATATTTCCCTCCGCTCTTAACTCGGCCCTACATTGACCTCAGCTACCCAACTTGGTTATACTTACACGATCCTTGGGGAGAAGGTGTGTCGCGGTACCAAAGCTCAGTCATTACGCACATTTCATTTGATCCTTTACCTTGACCGTGTGACTGCATATTTCCTTTCTGCTCTATAACTCAGCTCGCCGACCTAATGATCCTAGCGCCGACCAAACTTGGTATACTTACACATCTTGGGGAGAAGGTGTGTCGCATACCGGAACCAGGTCACTGCAACCTTTATTTGACATTGACCTTGACCTTCATCATATTTCCCTTCCGCTCTATAACTCGGCCCCTAATTGACCTAGCGTGACCAAACTTCGTATACTTACACATCTTGGGGAGAACACGGGAGATACATGTAGTTGGCGACAACTGCCCTTTCTAGTTTAATGAAGCTTTCTGACTACATAGGTACTTGTTGTTTGCTACCATTTCAGGATCGTGTAATAAATATTATTAAATCATCATGTGATCCTACAATTCCAATATCCATATACATATTTCATATGTATCCAGGTTAGGGCATCTGCTCAGCAGAGAGCCTGCACATTATTTTAGAATAAACCCCTATATATGCCTTCTTCTATTATCCTGCTACAATGTGTATGTATTTGGTCTTTGTATTTGTATTTTTTCGTGAATTTCAGGTGTCTGGAAAAGCCTCATGATTTATCGATCGAGAAACTTCAGGAACTGCAGCAACACATCATGGCGTAGTCGGGGTATAATTGATGTGGCACCATTAGTGGTTAACGAACACTATGAAAAGACTTGTTACAGTATTCTTTGTAATGTTTTATAGGATGTGCAACTGGCAACTGATACTCAAGGGTGTGAGATCTTTTTTATGCACATCATTGTGAATAATAATAAGATCCCTCCACTATTCGGTAACATCTGCATGTGCATATGAAGTGTATTGTAAAGGTTTTATACGCATATCTTAGTAGGAAACTAGGAATGACAGATCATGCTTCCTGAGTGCTCGTGATTAAAATTAAGACTATTCAAGATCATGAAAACCCCATGTTCTGTGTGTAAATGTAATAAATACAGTATAAACTACCTAGAACTATTCACTGTCTAATGCAGTATTCGATTTTTAGCTCACCTTGACATCGTCAAGATGAGCTATTGCCATGGGGATGTCGTCCGTCGTACGTCCGTCCGTCCTTCCGTCAACATTTGGCTACGGTCAACGATAACTCAGGAACCGTTTGACCCACATGTTTGAAATTGGGTATAGTTGTTACTGCTATGGGAGAGGTTTGAACATCCTATTTTGGAGCACGCCAGTCGACGTACTTTCGAGCCACGACAATGTATTGGCAAAAATGGGAATTGCCATTAGTCAGTTCAGGTTCAACGGATTTTGCTCATTTTTGGTATGTGAATGAATAAGGGCTAGGGGTTTGATATTTGAAAAGAAATTATGCAAATTAGGTAGGTTTTGGCAATTATATAGACACGCAGATAACAGTGTGGTGTCACACTCGTCTGGTTCGTTTTACAAGATTTCATTGACAATATCTTTAATGCAAAATTGGTATTTCCTCTCCACCCTGCCGATAAAACATCTATATTAGAGTAAAGTTTTACAAAACATGTCGGAACGCAGCATAACCTATTTATTTTGAACGCCATTGCTAAGAAACATCAAAGCGGGTATAGCGCCATCTACCGTCACAAATTGTGATTCATTTTGGTTTATAAATTATTATTGCGATATACAGATGGCAACCATGTGCTACCGCCTAGAAAAACTCATACGAAGTAAACGCTTCCATGCAACCAATTAACCTTTAACAAAAGTTGCGTTATGGGCAGGGAAACACCATTGTCACGTGGTATATAGCAGCTACGTGTAATAAGCGTATCCTCTCAAACTTACACGTTACACATCGGGAGCTCCGCTTTTAGGCAGTGCCTAAATCTGAATATTATAAAAACGTTAAATGGCGATCATTTAGGTGTAATGCCATCACTCGCCCTCATCTCAGACTTTCACATCTCAAACATTTATTTTCACATAAAAAATTACACATATTATTATCAAGAGTATATAATGGGAGTTCTCCCGTATATACTTTTCGTTTCTATAATGTACGTCGATGGTTGCTCAATTAAAACTGACTTCTTCTCACTCACTCATTTGTGACCTTTTTTGTGGCGAGCTACAGTGTCATTGGCACTTTCATTGTTACTGGGATCTAGTGACGTGGGTAATTGCTAGATAGTGTTCAAGTAAAGCATATATACAGTATTTGCAACACTAAAAATATGTAGAAATGTAGATTATGTGCGATAATGGTATCATAGTTGTGATCAACATAGCTCCACATACATCTATTACTATTCCATCTTGCATGCTGGCAGGGTTTGATATAGAATGAAAAGTAAGTCGCATCATACTCTAGGATTTGGAGTGGTGGAAACCAAACATGAAATACAACTGTTATGAAACGAGAGGTTATAGGTCAGTTCAAACGAATTGCTGCTCAATAATATCTAGGTGAATTATCCACGATTATGAAACTAGCAAAAATTTATTCATATAAAATGGATGGCTATTCGTATGTAAGTAGACTGGCTTGTGTAAAATCCAATAACAAATAGACTGCATCTGGGTAATACAATACTGTTGTGACACATGCAGTGGTAAGCTAGAATATTCTTTGATTGGCAATGCATAATTATTGCTCGGTTGTTACGTGACTGTAATGACGACTTATATATGACACGAGTTAGTCATAGGACGGTGGGATCTCATATTTACTGTATCTGGTGATGGTAGGTGTACGTCCCATATTTCCATAGGTAGACGTGTGGATGTATTTTTCTCCACAAGCCAGGTTACATCAAACATTCATTTTTTATACATATATATGTTCGTGGGAATATATACCAGTAACCGCGTTTTGCATAGTCATCTTCACTAGAGTAATCTCATGGAGCAATGCGTTAGTTTAAGCAACTTTAATTAATCACTTAAGCATGTTTGTTGCTTGACATATTTTTGTCATAGTTTACTACATTTTGTATTCGTAGCCTATAGGTATAATCTAAAAACAAAGAACCAAATATATATCTTCTATTAAACATATTTTTGTGTGTTGCTATGGTGCAGCTGGCAGGTTTCACTGTAATAAATACTTATATTATGTATTATTCTGCTGAACAATGTCTCAACATATATTGAAGACAAGGGAGTCGGGACTTTCAGATTTGCCCACAATCAATAATTTAATAAAGATGAACCTTTTTACATGCGAAATAAAAACGCCAATTCGGCACAATTTTACAGCAAAATATTTGAATTGATTGATAATTTATGATTATTTACAACACTGCATCAATAAACACCTAATAAGGACAAAAACAAAACAAAACAAAACCTGCCAATGAATAGTGTACCTATGTACTACTATAGTGTACTTGAACATGCAATTTACAATATCCTGTACATTAATCTATATGTTCTGCAAATATATGACAAACAGCTATAGTATAGGCATTGGTTCAATTCAAGCCAATAACTATGTGCAGATCTTGCAGCTGAATTGTACATAGTACCTATAAATTCATGCTTGTGCGTATGTATATGTAGCATATTTTACATTCGGAGTCCCACCTATATCACTACTTGTAAGGCGTCAATCAACAGGTTTTGCCCATTTCTGAACATGTGAAGCAAGAGAAACATGTCATGTAATTTCTGGTGATGTACGTCCCAACTCTCACAATTGTCACACACTCGGGTACGCGTCTTAACAACATGCGTTGATTTTCTTTTCTCGCACATTGAACTGTCATTTAAATTGAATGTGTGTATATATATATGTATGTACATACACAGTAATCTCAGCAAGGCGCATGTTGCCAGCAGCGAAAAACACTGGCTGAAGGTGCATCTCCTCATGCTTCGTCATACTCGTCATATAACTCGTCTGCAACTGTGGACAAATCGTGATTATGAAATTACCAAACAAAATACTGTATATAGAAGTCTTCTGAAGGCTCAGCAATGACAAACTAACTGCCAAACATAAGCTGTCACTGTTACATGGAATATGTCTACCAGTTCAGAACGAAATGCAAGAGTCGTAGATTGGCATATCAAAATCTTATCTGCGTTTTTGCAAAATTGGCTCTTTTCGTTGGCAAGGTAGCTTTTGGCTAACCTCATGGAATATTTTCCCAACAGACTTGCTTCTAAATACGTTTGAATAGCAAATATGTGTTCAGTTCCCCTCACATATCTAGCTTATTCACTATCATACTGTGCAATCCAATAACTAAAATCCCTAAATACCTCCATGGCCAAGTAGTTGTGCTGCACTGATGTGTTCCTCCATCTCGTCCTCCTCATCATAATCCTCACCTGCATGCCAACACAAACAACTGCATCGTTGGCCACCATAATCATTTTACTGCCCTACACAGCTACACTACACATGCTTTAAACACAATTTACTAAGCTGGGATGTTTATTCTAAAAACGTAAAACGAAGGGCAGGCACAAGTGATGCAAATCATTTTTTTGTGCAGGTCAACTGATAATGTGGTATGCATGCCAGGGTACACCTTGACCAAATGTACGACCAATATACCACGAAATACAATGCAATATCACCCGGTTATACTTTTGTTCTGCACGACCATGAACATGTATTTCATACCATGATATTGTTCCTCATCTGGTTCGTACTGGACTGGTCCCGATTCAACAACTATGGTCTCCTCTGTTTTCATTTTTTGCGCTGACCTTTGCTGCACAGAGGATGCTTCCCGTTTTATCCTAGCAAGAAATAAAAATTCAAACCTATAGTAGAAACCACCAACCTACAGCATAATAACATATATAATAATACATGTTCAAATCTTAATTGCCATTTACTGTTGACTGTGTTCTGTGTTGTTGTTCATTTTTACATGTTATAGCAGAGTTAACATCCAAATACCATAACTTTGTAGCTCGTTTTCGTCCCAATTTTTGGTATCTAACCACACCTTTCCTACCTATCTCACCTGACCTACCTAGGTATCACGTAGCAATAATTAAACTTTATTACCTGACAAGTCATGTCAGACTTTACTACTACCTACTGTTATTACTGTCTAGACGTATTACTGTGCTTAGTGTTGCAAGTGTGGGGGGCAGTGGTGGTCTAGAAGATAGCCCAATTGACTTTGGACTGAAAAATGTCTGGGGTTTGAGTACCACCATGGCCACTGCTGATATGCTCCTGAGCAAGGCACCTTAGTCCTATCTGTTTCAGCAGACACCTGCTGGGCAATAGTTAGTTCTAATATCACCTGTCAGGCAATACAGTTTAACCACTGCTAAAAGTTACCTTTCTTTGTCAGGCGAGGTAGGTAGGCCACATATCTCAACTTATATCAATTGTATAGACATGTTCACGATACATTGTACAGCTATGTTTATGACACATTGTATAGACATGGTCATGATGCATTGTATAGACATGGTCATGATGCATTGTATAGACATGGTTATGATACATTGTATAGATATGTTCATGACACACTGTATAGAGATGTTCCTGATACCTTTTATAGACATGAGCGGCGTTTACATGGCATTCAGTGCTTATTAGGTTACGTATCTCAGAAATCCGGTATTTGATCGAGATTCGGTATTTATACCGAGCCAGCTGTTTACACGGAGGATGTGTGAATTCGGGGCTTAGTTAGTGCTGTATTTTATCGATCGCTTGATAGAGTCAACGGTCACCAGGTGGTTCTGCTTTTAGCTACTTAGCAAGCACTGAATGCATTTACACGAACAGATAATTCCGCATTTAATATTTCGGAGCTTAGCTGGCGCGACATATTATTCCGTGCCTATTAAGTGCAGTATTTGTTAATTCCGAATCTGTCCAAGTCTCGAATTATTTAATCGTCTAAACGCTAAATACGGACTCTAATAGACCGTGTAAACGCCGCTATGGTCATGATATATTGTATAGATACGTTAATGATACATAACATTGTATAGATACATTCATGTTACATCGTATATATACCTTCATGATACAATGTATAGAGGTTTAATTATATTGTGTAAAGATTTTCATGCTGCACTGTATAGACATGGTCATAATACATTCAAGAGCTAATAAATACCTAGCGTGGAAAACGGGAAAATAGTGCTATTTCACGGCAATATTATTCTACTTTGTATGCGGTTCTAGACCAAGTTCATGGTATTGCGTTAAGCAGCATTCTTTGCTCTCTAAAATAAGACCAACCGCTTGACTCTACGATACTCCTCGGCCGAGATATTGGAGCGTAATCATGCCTCCCACAGGCCTTACATCCACAATATTCAATATCCTTCTTGCCTTTTGCGGGTCTGGCTATAGTTTTCCGTCACGGCTTGGAGCGCTGATAATTGATGTCACATGCCCAAATTTGGTACTCTTACTACACCATATAGTAACTGAGCTGCGTTGCAGACTTAATTTAGAAAACATTGCCGGCTCCATCATGACGGGCATTAGCCGTGCTAGGAAAGATAATGGGAGATAAGGGCATAGGCGATGCTCCCGAAAGTCACCGAAAAGCCATTCATTCATAAAGATATCGCGGAAAAAACCGAACTCTCACGAAGCGACTTTCCTAACCCGCAAAAGGCAAGAAGGATAGTGAATATTGTGGATGCGAGGCGCCGTGAGGCCTGTGGGAGGGGAAGTTTACGAGCCAATATCTCAGCCTAGGAGTTGGTGGGTTGTCTTGTTTTAGAGAGCAAAGAATTCTACTTAATGCAATACCATAAAATTATTCTAGACTCGCAGGCAAAGTAGAATAATATTGCCGTGAAATAGCACTATTTTCCCGTTTTTCCGTTGTACACTAGGTATTTATTAGCTCTTGATACATCGTATAGACACGGTCACGATACATCGTATCGATAAGTTCAGGGCATATTCGTTTTTAATTACAGTTGGGAGTCGTTAGATCGTGAACTACCTGACAGGTGTCACGTCGAGGGAGCCGCTGAGCACAGCGGCCACGCTCGCAGCCTCCGTCTTCTTCACGTCCGGAGCGCGGTTCAGGTCCCGCAGCACCTCGTAGTTGATCTTGCTCGATATCTTCTTCTCCTGCAGCATCTTCTCGATCGCCTCGCCTGCAGTGCTCGCCTGCATCTGCTGCTTCTTTCGCGGCTTCTTCCGCTGAGGAAGTGAGAGGGGTAGATGTGAAGCGGAGGCCTGGAGCATCTCTACAGGATGCAGATCCACTGAACTACTACCCACATAAGCCCAGAGGGCAATGCGTGCACATTAAATTTAGTATAACACAAGGATGATCAGCAGGTGATGTTACTGAACCTACAGGGACTTCCATGCTTATATTTAATAGATAATAATTAATGCACTTCTTGGGATTAATATTCCGTACTTGGGAGCCTGGACACTTGTAGTATTTCTCGAGTTAAGAGTAATACACAAAAATGGTTTCATTCTTATTCTTCTGTCATTTCCTGCCACAGTTATACCTTCTTCGGTTCAGGTTTTGTGATTCCTTCTGCCTTCTCCCTGGCTTCCCGCTCTTCTTTTTCTGTGAAGACAAATAAAACTTGAAAACTTCAGACCTTGAAATTAAAATGCATACTCCTGACAATGGCAGTTAATGATACTGCTAGGGTTGGGAGGTGATTTTCGGTCGAAATTTCAATACCCACTATTTGATAGATCAGATCCATGGGCAGCTATATACGTAGAAACTATGTATGTAGCCTCCCAAACAGTTCCAAATCCCCGCATTAGTTTTCTGTTTTTTTTTTGTCAATTCTTAACACCATGGTTCAACTCATGGGAATATTTATAAAAAGTGCTATATCTCTATTGTTAAGAATGCTCGATACCTGCTAGATGATTATCAAACACTCATTCTCAAAAGCCCCGCACTGCACAAAGCTCCCTGCGTCACAACTCTGATTCCAAAAAATTTTTGTTGCGTTTCAATGCTAACATATTCAAAGTAACAAGTGGCCGGCAGAGCGAGGGCGCTCAACTGACGTGTACTGTAGCCAGGTTTCTTCTGATAAACTCACTGGCAAACCGAATCAAGTGCGCCCTCGCCGTCACCGCGTTCGCGCTTGGAGCATATATCTAGGATACTACTAATACAAGATCTAAAATCTATAAGGCTTTGCTAACCGGTAGTACAGTAAAAAGATACAGCTGTGTAACTTTAATGACTTCGCTTTATTAACATGTTATTATGGATATGCGTCGAGCGCGAGCAGTAGTAGTGGTGGTGGGGAGAGGGTCTGGGGAGGTGGGGAGGGGCTCTAATAGCAAAAAGCAGTTCAGTCCTTTGTTAACAGTCAACAATCCATGTTTAACCCTCCTCTTGAGGTCAAAAGGTTATCAGACACTTACTCTTCGCATGTCAGCGGAAAGTAACTTTCATGTCCTTTCAATAAAGTGATAAAAATGGTAGGTCAGCGCTGAAACAAAAAAGTTTTGCACTCAGTCCGTTAGACATGTCCCTGAGAAAATGTCTGATATCTGACCTTTCCCACTGCCCCTTGACCTGTGACCTCCATTTTTCGCACTGGTGATGGTTTCCTGTCCATCACACTATATATCGAATATTACGAGCGTAGGTCGAGTCGTTGAGATTTGTGCCGCAATTCCGTATTTCCTCCGATACCTTAAGTTAAGGGGGAAATATTCCCCCTCCATTGACACATTTTGACCTTCTACCCTTGACCCCCAAATTCGACATCCCGTGTCCTTTTCGCGATCCCCCCGACGTCCCGAATATCAAGACCGTACGTCCAGCGGTTAAGATTTGTGCTGTAACTGTTGACACACGGACGGCCGGACGGACATTCATGCGATTCTACAAGCTGCATCTGACTTCGTCAGCTGAGCTAAAAAGGGTCCCTGGAATTTTTTTTAAAGATATTTTATAAGTTATGGCTCTTTGTTTATGAAATTGTTGCATTTTGAAAATCACTACAAATTTTCGTACATCTTTTCAACTTATTTCCTAAATTAAAGCATTAAAAAAAGGCTGTTGCTCCTGCAACGTACGCGGCGCGCGCGATTTTTTTCTCTCTTAAAGTCACGGTAGTGATGCAGCCGCCATCTATCGGCGATAATAACTACCGTTGTTTTGGTAGCGATATTATATATACGATTTTATACGATATATACGATAGAACCCTAACCCTAACCCTAACCCTAACCCTAACCCTAACCCCATTAATAAGTAAATTTAATTTTTAATTGTTGTAAAAATTAATTGTTGTTATATAAAATGTTGTAAATAAATCATGTAAATATTTGCGGTTAATTGGAAAAAAAATGTTAAACAGATAAAGATAGAAAAATACAGAAAACAGGAAAATAATTAGAAAACGGATGGGATTCGATCCTGCGACCATTCATACTTGGCGCCAGCGTTGTAACCATTACGCTGCTGCGACATATTGAAATTAAAATTTTGGATGTGCTATGTATATCGCGAGAAAACAAGCTCAACCAATCAGGCGTCAGTACCGTCAGTACCGTCAGTACCGTGACTTTAAGAGAAAAAAAATCGGCGACGGTACCGTTGCAGGAGCAACAGCCTAAAAAAAAATCCAGGGACCCTTTTTTAGTTCATATTATGAACAACTTATGGTTAAAAGTTTAGGTCCCAACTCTTTGCCGTTTCTGAGAAATAACAAAAAAAGAATTTTTTTTGTATAAATTCACAATTTTTGCCATCACTTAATTAGCGATGATTTTTTTTACATTTTTTTTCATCGAGAGCGTAGAGAGACATCTCTCTTATGTAATGGATATGAGTTTGATGAGCAGTTATGTTGCAATGCCCTTTACAGTGTTACCGGTCTGTAACCCTAACAGTATCCTTAACCTTATTGGACCGACATGACATGCCACTTGACCACATAATGAAAGATGAGATTTATTTTCTAAAATATTTAGCAATAACCTCACCTAACCTGATTGTATAACATACCTTTCTGTTGTTGCAAGTACTCCGCATTTACTTTCGTCCAGATGTCTGTCTTTACTTTCACCTCATCCTCGGTGAGAATAAACTAAAAATGTATACAATTTAAAAGTGATAAATATTACTATTATAACTATGTCAATTATAATTGTATGAATTATCACAGATTTTATCATTTAGAAAAATTAGAATAAAATATTATTAGGTATATATTCAGCCTCTCAGTTGGTCTCAGATATTTACATAATAACATTTATCAGTTTATACTAAAATCATTACTTGCTGTTGTATTTGGTGTCACCTATACATATAATTTATGTCTTCTCCTAATATTAACATGCAAGATATGAATTAACTTACCTTATCTAATTCATCATCATCTATACCTGTGAGATCCAATTCTCCATCCTCTTCTTCTGCAACTTAAATAACATATTCAACAATTTATTAAAACATTTTGCTTCATAATGAAACAAATTAATTTTTGTGGAGTTTTGATGTGCCATTGTATGCTACAAAGGGCAAATATCTCTGAGCATTTTCATGCATATCATATGGAAGCCAATGTTGTAAACCAACCACTCCCAACAAAGTGGTAGTACATAACGAATATACAGATCAAAAACTTACAGAGCAATCAGACACATTTCCTCTATACAAGCAGTCAAGTTGCTATCTAACCTTCTCCTGGCTCCACCCTCATACATGCAACTATCGACTCTTTTATGCCCAGACTGGCTGCAGTGGGTCCTGGGCCATCCTCAGCAGCAAAACCTAGTTGTAAGGAAGTCGGAATGTGGCTTGTCGGTGGTTGTTGCGCAGATGCACAGGTTTCATCTGCAGTCTCTAACATGTAGTTCCCGAGATCTGGAATAACAATGTTTTGCATTTGTATTACGAAACTGCCACTCAATGGCTATATATAGATTGAAGAAGAGGCATCCTGGGGTTGCATTTTCTTCTTTAACTTTCACATTATAAATCCCAGTGATCAAGTGTCTGACAAAAGATGCAATTCCACATGGCAAAGTAGTGTCATCAAGATCACACACGTGAATGCTTTTGGAATCGGCTTTAGATCTAATACATGCTGTTCGTTCATAAATTCTGTGAAGATCAGACTGCCTACAGTCCTACCCAAATCTTCATGTATCTGCCGTAACGTTTCCTGCTGAACAAACTCTGTAGCCTCCTTGCTTGCTTCCTCTGAACCCAGCGCCTCGTTTAACTCATCTTCTGGGGCATCATCATCTTGCGTATCTAAAGCTAACAGATTCAGGAGGTTACCTTCCACACAGGAGCTATGCACACTATGTTACCCACGAAAATGCCGTTTTTCTACTATATTTAAACGTAGTCATGCTTATATGGGTAGTCACTTTGACAAGTCTTTGGTAAACACTGGAGTGGAGCTTCATCCACCTCCGCACTAAACCAGAGACGAATACTGTTACACACTAGCACTCATTTTGCACTGACATCACTGGTAATTAGGAAGCTAAGTCGCCCACATTGATGCATACTAATGCACCGTGACCATGCCAGTACCTACTTGATGAGCTGTCATTTCTTCTTGGTTTTTTCTCTAATGCTTGATCCAATTCTTCTTGTAATGTACTGATCTCTCCCTCAACTTCTGTAAGCTTGCACATCTCCTCAAGCTGGTCGGTGAATAAAAAATTAATTTTTCGATTAGACATAAACTTGCACATCTGGTTCACCAGTTTACGATTGGAATAGTATTGTAAATGGAAAACGACTTATAATAAGTTATAAGGCATACTTATACACAGCTGCATTACCTAGAACTATATTAGAAAAATGCTTGTCAGCTATTCTGCTGTGAATTCACACAGGAATAGCAGAATTACCCAAATTGATTAAATTTCTCGGATCTCACTTGACTGTTTGTTTCAAACCGTAATAATAAGGCATCAAATTACTTAAAACATGCATACATGTTGATTTTCTGCCATGTAGGTAACATAATAGGCGGAAAAAATTTGTGGAACTCGGTTAACATTATATTGAAGATATCCATTGCGATTAGCACCTTGCTAATTTTATCCTTCCAACGAGCCTCTGTGAAGGATGGTGGGTCTTGTTCTTCCTCTAGGTCTATGTCCATGAATTGATCTAGTTTCAGCTTGCTGGATGGTGTTCTTTCAAACTCTATCAACCTTGAAGTAGATGAATACATTCTTTATATAAGTCTGAATGCACCTAAGAGCAAGTCCATTACAATTTTGGTAAGTGGCGGTCGATTCTTAAAAGTACTGGCATGCTAGCTGACTATTACCTTACCTGCTTCACAAATTAACAATTACCTTTGTGCACGTTTTCTCACATTTTTGCCCTAAGATATCTTTAGAAATTATGCATGAAAGATCACATGACTGAAAGTAAACCCAAGATACTTTCTGATGACTGACATTTTTGTACCATTCTTGCACTACTGATAATATATTGCATGAGAACAATAACTGCACATACAGTTAGCATACAGCATTACCGCTTTCGTAACGTTCCATCGCAGACCTTCACAACCCTAAGAACATCCTTCTGGGTTCTATTAAAGTCGTGCAATCGTGCGGCAACAAGCAGCGCTGAAACATGCAAACGCGTTTCAGTTCCTCAATCCTCACAGTTTACGAGCAGCTCCTACAAAAGTTAGGTTCAACAAGTGCAAGCTTGAGTGAATTGACTGCATCACGACTGCACTGGTGCATAGGCCGATGACTCACCAGCCCCGCAGAGCCCCGACGGTCGCCTGCCGACGTGCATCCAATCACGCTTCATTCGCTGTACGAGACGAAGAGCTGTCATGCTTACATCGTGCGTCTTGTCACCAAACTCAAGCTTGTGAGAAAATCGTGGGATCAGGATGCATGGGTCTGCATTGAAATCAAAGTTTGCTCTTTGAAATCGATACCTTACAAGAAAATGCTCAAAGCTCCCTCCTAAACATTTTTATGCAGTCTCTATGAGGAATTTACATCCACGTCAGGTTAACATCTGGTATACGAGTTAGCGCTACTTGTGTGGAATTAAAATTGTGTGTAGATGTGATGAGCTTGTAATTTAATGTTAAGTTGATTTCCAATTGAACACGTGTTCCTTTGATGGAGCTCAGCTGTTTCACAGGTGAGGTGTACCTTCAGTGGCAAGATAAATTCACATGTGAGGTGCCAATTTAAAGATGATATACAAATTCACACATGAGGTGCAAATTCAGAGGTGAGATATAAATTCCCAAGTGAGATGCACATTAAGAGGATACATTTTAAGGCAAAATAGCAAGAGAACTCACCAACAGCTGGTACATTGATACACAACTCCTGCGCTAACTTCAGATACGTTTTGCCAAGCTCATACACATTCACCTGCAGGATGTCACTGAAATCCAAAAGCATATCTAACCAGTGTTAAGAAAATACATGATATTACATACACCTATGTTATGCAGCCCCTGTCACCTCTGCCCTGAAAGGCAGTTGCATTGCAAATCAACATAAAATAATCATGGCTCAAAATTAAGCAATACATAATGTATTACCAATTGACATTGCATTTATAATTAAGCATTTTCTTTTTCACAACCTATACTATCAGAATACAAGTTAAGACGATCGCCTGGCATGTGTGTATGGCATGTTTTTTGTTTCATAATTCGATTCATTGTTCGATTTTATCACATATTATAACATTCGATTCATCACATATAACATTCGATTTTTAATATCACATATAACATTTGATTTATCACATATAACATTTGATTTATCGCATATAATATTTGATTATTTAATCATATGTTATATGCAATAAATCGACAATAATTCCCCTGCCAAAAGTATAATTGCATCATTTGATAGCATGCCTGTTAATTCGATTGTATTAGGCATTCACTGTTTTAAATGTTCACATTATTTGATTTTATATCAGCAAAGAGAATCAAACCATTCGATCCTGGCATCAAACCATTCGGTTTTGGAATCAAACCATTCAATTATGGAATAGAATCGTTCGATTTTGGAATCGAATCGTTCGATTTTGGAATCGAACCTTTCAATCCTGTATTATGTAGATCCCTCCTGCATGCACCGCATCGAACCATGCGACTCTGAATCGCATTATTCGATCTGTGAATTGAAGCTTTCTATCCAGTCAATCAAGCAATTTGATTCGCGTGATTAAATAATGCGATCTGCTAATATGAATGTCTTCGATGTGAATCGAATATAAAAGAAAAATATCAAATGTAACATTTAAACATGAACATGTGATTTTAGCCCATATATATACATCAAACAAAACATTAAACAAATCGAACGATTAACAAAATCGAATTATGAAACAAAAAACATGTGTGTGGTTGTTATCCTATTATTGTTTCAATTAGTAATGCAACACTGAAGCACTATGTATGAGGTGAACATCAGTATTCCTAATTTGTTACAGGTGATCTTCCCCTGCTCGAACACTATCAACACATTGGCAAGGATACGGGCAGTGCTCTCCGTTCTGCACACCAGGTAGAGGCAGGCAGAGATGACATGGGTTATCTTACGACCTCTAGTAAGTCTTTTCCCGACGGCCATCTTGTAAAAGTTATACGCTGTTTCTAGACAATGCTGATTTAGCTGCAATTGGGAGCCAAGCTGGTTGATCTTCTTACGACCTGCATTGACATACGCAAATATTTTGTATAATTTCTAACTGACTGCTTTTCAATAATACAGCATGCACTTTCCACAGTGACAAAGTAGTTGTACCAGTGGCGTAGTTAGGGGGGCCAAAGGGGGCCACGGCCCACCCCCTGTTGATCCGAAAGTTAAAAAAAAATATAAAAAATAAGAATTGCTTTTAAACTAAAAGAGAATTGCCGAGTAGTCAGAAATGAAGGCCTGTACCAAAGGGCTCGACACTAGCTAGCGGTGGCCCGGTGGCCCGGGGCCACCAAAACTCTCATGTCGGGCCACCGTAAAATTTCAAAAGTTAAAATTGGTGGCCCGAATATCGGGCGCCACTAAAAAATTTCAAAGTGTCTATGTATAAAAATACATTGGTTTCTTACGTGCTTAATCACTCATTCAAAAGAGAGTGAGCAATTCGCGGAGCGACGGAAGCAGCACGTCCCCCACACGTGGCAGCATTCTAGAACGCCACCAACTAAGGGCCGCCGCGGGCCAGGTTTATCGATCGTGTTAGATAGAATAATAGTGAAAAGTAGAAAAAGTGGTATGCAAAGATTCTGTGAAAATTTGATGCGTGGAATGGATAATTCCAAATGTATGCCTCAATCAATCAATGTCAGTGTGTGCATTGTGTGGAGGTTTGTTATAAAGGCATACATTCGAACGCATCGATTATGCAAAAAGTTGACGAATGCTAACGTAACTGGCAAAACCTTGTGTAGGTCTTAATAATGTACATTAACCTTATAGGCCAAACCGCCTATTAGTTTGTCGCAATACACTGCTAATTTACTAAGAACATGTACTAATTGAAATCCGTAAATTTCGGTAATCCATGCGAAAGCGAAATTTATGGCCCACAAAATAAACATCGAGTTTCGGCTTCGGTGACGGTCACATGTATGCTACAAGATGTGTGAGCATCGAATTGTTGTCCTGGGCTGGGTAAACTTTCTTGCCTAGTGTTATTTATTATCCCAGTAGTTGCCTACAATATTATATGTTGACTTGTGCAATCTCAGAGAAACGTCAATTATTCATTTATTCCCGGAATCCCAAGCAGTAAAACCATAAACGTACGAATGCGCCGGTCAAGACTACAACGGATCCAAATCACTGGACGGGCCAGAAGCGATGGACGTGCGAAAATGTCCGGTGCACTATTTAATCTGTATGACACCGGGCATCGCTCACGTTTACGACCCGGTCTCACGGGCCGCATCGACGGTTTTGTATACTGGTCAACCAGACCGAATTTCTTGACTGCGGATTTCAATGAGCACATTTCTTAGTAACCAAGCAGTGATATTGGACAAAACACTAAAATTACGCGTTTGCTATAAAGGTAATTGTACTATATTAACTAACACAAGGTTGCCAGTTTATCTGTAAGGCCATGTCGTATAAAATTCGCATAATCGATGGTCGAATTATGCCTTTAAAGACTTGTGCAAGTGCATCAGACGGCCCAATTTTCAAATAATATACAATACGAGATTGAAATAAAGATTTATAATGTTTTCCTTTGTTTTTTTTTCGGGCCACCAGATATCATTTTCGGGCCACCAAAAATTGAAAATCAATGATTTTGGTGGCCCGATCGGGCCACTGAAAAAAAAAGTTAGTGTCGAGCCTTGCTGTACATGTACTCAAAAGAGCCTCAAATACCATCTCCTGCGTTCTACATTTTCAAAATTTCCTGGGGGAGGACCCCCATACCCCCACCTGTGTTTCACCCCCCCTCCTCGTAATCCTGGATCCGCCACTGAACAGTTACATATCTAGGGAGCAGAGAACAACAAACACAAATGTCGCCTTTTTGCATGGCGCCCAAAACAAAGATTGCAGAGCTGAGAGGCGGGAGAGCATAGGGTGTGGAGAAGGAAGCAGAGGAACCATTAAAATATTAAGTCATTATTTTGCGCAGTTTGCTGTTTTTGGCCCCCCTGTTAAAAAATCCTGGCTACGCCACTGAGTTGTACCTATTCATGTAGAACCCTAAAAATACTTCTCTGTGATGTTTTAGAAACATTGTTCCTTATTCACAAAATGTGTTCATAACTTGATGAGCAGAAACAACATAACAGTAGCAAAAGTATGCTTTCACAATACAGGTACCAGGAAGGAACACCTACCATTTTGTAGAGTGATAGCTCTAGACTCCTTTCCAAAGCCATGGTGAAAGCTTCCACCCATTGTGCTCGATTTAACCCCTGCAAATATGCACCATTTTCCAATTGAAATATTTGTTTTTAATTTTGCAGGTTTAGCACATCAAGTCACATTTTTACTATTAGTTGCACCAACTCTCCTGAACAGTAATGTTACAATCAGAAATTGTGAGGGGAAAATATCGAACAATTAACTTGCCTTCAGAAGATACAAACTGTCCAAGGACAGATGTTCCTCCTATTGAATTTTCCTGGAAAGTGACCTCGGAGACTATGATGTTATCTTCCAACACGGAGCCACAGTTGGTGCAGACTGCATCGCCACGCGCAGTGTCGACGTCGATATCACTGCTGCCACAGTGGCTGCACACTTTCGTTTTAGCTGACATGATCTGTTTATAATTGTATAGTCTTGATTTGTGCTCACGTTACACATGAGTGTTCAAGAAAAAAAGAAGACTATATATACCTGTCAGTGTCATGGCTGGTATATCTTAATTATATTTATAGTCCGAGTAATGCATTTACTGTATACGCTGTATATTTCATGGTTTAATTTTCACGAATTTCGCAAACGCATCCACGACCATGAAAATAACAACACGCAAATAATTCATACCAAATAATACCGAATGATTCATAATTCACTGACCGCGAAATTCACCACTCGCGAAATTGTCCGTCAAGTCTAAATTCGTGAAAATATCTATACGCGAAAAATATGGCATATACAGTACTTTAATTTCAACCTCAAGTTCTTACAAAGTGATCTGAAAACCCTCATAGGTTCAGTGGGCAGTCAGGGGCAATTAAGTACACCTTTCACATAAAATGCCATGGGTTCAAACTGCAGCCAGTACATTTAAAACTTTTCTCAAGAAATGTAAAAAACCTGGCTATAGTATTTACATTGGGGGTGGCCATGACACCCTCATATCTCTGACAACCTGTATCAATTTACGACCTTATCTCCCTTAATTATAGAGGGGGAAAGAACCAATGACGATGTGAGACACCCTGCCCTGGCATTGGCCACTCACAGTGTCAGCGACAATGCCAGACTCATTGAACCACATACTTAACTACTGCTGAAATGGGTTGGGTTTGTCACTGAGGGACCCTCCCAAAGAAAATGGAGATGGTTTTTTCATACAATGAAACTAGTGAATAGTTTATAGTGATTAACGAATGTTTATAATATTATTAATAAATAAATAACATTAAACATGCTCTTTTTGAATGACAGACAGATAGTATGACATAATTAATGAACAAGTGCCGCAGAGTGACAGCGCTCATCTAACGTCTACTGCGGTGACTCTGTGGTGGAGTGGTGGAGATTCTAGTAAGAACGCCTGCTTGTCCCAAATGTGTTCAATACACGCCGAAACCAGTGGAATGCCACAGGATGGTATCGGAACTTTCTCAAAAGAGATGTTCGTTGGCATACGTTATGAAAGTTGCCACGAGTGGCGCGTACGTTTAGTGTCTTCAGATAAACGATGGGAAGCTCCATCATTAACGTAGTAGCGCAACAACTACTTTGCAAGACAGAATAAGGTAAGCCACTCATCCATGTTACTACGCAAGCCTAACAGGCCTGTCAATAGAGAGCTGCCACCTGTAACCAGATTTAACGCAGGCAAAAACTCCACAGTACCACCAACACATGCCACTGGCAGCTGCATAGCTTACATGTAACATTACTGACGACAGAATGAGCATAGAAATTATAGCGAATTTAAGGAACATACACCTTCTTTAAACCAAATTTAGCTTTTGAAATTTCACTGTGACATTGTAGCCTCATACATCCAGGCATGTATAGATTCTATAGGCAAAACCGGCATGTCAACATTCTTTCTAACAGACAGTCAACAAATCCAAGTTCTAACCCTCCTCTGAGCGGCAAAAGCTTAATCCGACACTTACTCTTCGCATGTCAGGCAAAGGGACATTGTTCATGGTCCTTTCAATAAAGCCATAAAAATGGCTTAGTCACGCTGAACAAAAAAGTTTTTCATAGATCGCTTCCGTCAGACATGTCCTCAAGAAAATGTCTAAAATCTCGCCCTGTGCCCTGACCTTTTGACCTCTGCCTCCAATTTCGGCCACAGCTGATGCTTTTTCCTCCTACCATGAATGCTATACACGACTATCCAGCGGAGCCGAGGTTCGAGCCAGTTTAGATTTGTGCCGCAATCTGCATTTCTCCCTATAGCCTCAAGTTAAGGAGTGAATGTTCCCCCTTCTTTTACACTCTTGACCTTTGACTTGCCCCAGCTTGAATCCCAACTCGTTTTTCGGATTACCCCCACTGTCCCGAATATCGGTGACACGTACGTCGAGGCGGTACACGATTTGTGGCCCCAACTGTTGACGCACGGACGATCATGCGATTCTACAAGCTGCATCTGACTATGTCAGATGAGCTAAAAATAATGGTATTGCTGCTGTGGCAACTGCCGTACGATTGTTAGTTACGTTCTATGCATGATGATGATGTCACACACCGACTATGTACTAATTAGTAATCTACTACTAGCTACTATCTACTAGTAGTACTACTAGTACTAGTCTACTACTACTAGAGCCGAGTCTACAGTACCGGTACTCAGTATAGTATGTGAGACTCGCAGCTAGGGCCTGCATACCGGTACCTCCCAAATCCCATTGGTTGATACAAATCACGTGCCTGAAACTCCTGTTTTAATAAAACTTTTATGGTGCATTGTGACCCTAACCCTAACACTAATTACAATTTAATTTAAAAAATTAATATTTGTATCAACCAATGGGAGTTGGGAGGTATGCAGGCCCACGGCACAGGCACAGGCACTTGAAGCGTTTCAACTGTAAACACACGCCGCCGCCATTGCGCGCACAGTGACACATAAATATATAGTTTTATTTGTTCATGTGTCAGTGTATATATTTTTATGTGTCAGTGTGCGCGCAATGGCGGCGGCGTGTGTTTACACTTGAAACGCTTCAAGTGCCTCTGTCAGTGTGTGCAGGCCCTAGCCGCGAGTGTATGTGAGTATGTCAATATTCATTGAATCAATGAATGACCAGACTGTCTCATGCAGGCTGCAGTGCAACCGTGTTGCAGCGCAATATTAATAGGGCGACAATAGCTGATATTATGTGTATAAGATAATGTAGTCATGAATGCCTTATAATTACCCTATATTTAATAACAATTTACATAAGCTTATTCCAGAAATTAGGGAACTACACTTTCTCTAGTATAAGTACGCGGCCATATTGTCGCATCCCATCATGCTCTTTGAATAAAGTGAATGAACATTATAAGCGGTGGCAAACTGCATGCAGTGACCCTTCCATAGAAATAGATAAACAACCTTTTCTATTTCTATCTATTTCTATCTATTTCTATGAATAGTTGTCTATCTATTTCTATGGCCCCTTCGCACACTCAGAATACCACGCGTAGATTGTGCCAGCGAGAGCGCCATCTGTCGTGGAGTTTGAAGCGGGCGCGCGGGACGTTTGGATACAAAATCCACGACAGATGGCGCTCTCGCTCTTGCTCGAGTCAAGGAGCTAAAATCAAAAAGCTAAAATCATGCTTAAATCCACAGGCACTTGGACCGTTTCAATAATAAAATGATGGTTAATAAATACAACTTGTCAGTAGCCTACTACTACAGTACCAGCAATAGTCTTAATGTTTGATTTGACCTAATAACTTCACTTCAACACCGTTCAATACACCGCTGCAACACATAGCCCGCACGCCATTGTGCATGCACAAATACACAGTAGATAGGAATGTGTTGCAGCGGTGTATTGAACGGTGTTGAAGTGAAGTTATTAGGTCAAATCAAACATTAAGACTATTGCTGGTACTGTAGTAGTAGGCTACTGACAAGTTGTATTTATTAACCATCATTTTATTATTGAAACGGTCCAAGTGCCTGTGCTTAAATCAACTATGATTATCACTATGATTTAAGTGCTCTGCGAGTATCCTGAGTTGTACTGCTACTTGTTGCTTGAGTTGCTGGTTGTGCGGCTCGCGTGATTTTTTTCCCTAGGATAATCAAGAACATAGGGTCACAGGGCTCTTCTTGTGGCACTAGCCCGACCAGGCTGTGCGACCGATTGTCTATACTAACCCTAGCAATACCGTTTCTTGGAGCTATTGTGGCACGTGATTTGTATCAACCACAGCGCTCACTAGAGCCCTATGAGTATGACTATCCTTCTTGATTATCCTTGTTATCTATTGTTCTTGATTATCCTAGGGAAAAAAATCACGCGCACGGCTCTGGTTGTACAAAGGGGAGCTGCATGCAGTTTGGCTGAGAGGGTATATGTCCCCCAGGGTACTGCCGGAACGTACCCTGGTACCAGAGCATATATAAATCAACGTGATTTATATGCTCTGCTGGTACTATCTAATATGCCGGACCGTACCTCACATACTCCACTAACGAGTCTAGGGAGTCGCCTACGCCTACTCCCTAACCCTAACCATATCAGATAGTTACCTCAGGTACATATATGTCACCTACGCCTACGCCTACTCCCTAACCCTAACCATATCAGATAGTTACCAGGGTACCGGACCGTACCCAGGCTACGTTCCGGCAGTACCCTGGGGGACATAGACCCTATGAGCTGCAGTTTGGTTTGGATAGTGTTTTTATATATCTACAATTGCATCGGATCGTGAAATATATGCCCCGATTTACAATGCAATGTTCGGGGTTGGCATGCACAAGTTCAGAAAGGATGGATAAGGTGGAGCGCGAGAGGTTTATCCGCGCACACTAGGCAGGCACTTACTTGAAGTAATGCTTCTAATCTTAACCACCCACATCTGAATACCACACTGTATCTATGATTCTATATACTAAACGCCCTGAACAACATTGCAAACCTGAACACACGTGCATGTAATGATGTATATTACCATGATATTGCAAGTATAGAGTATACTCCGTAAGTTACGGTATTTTAGTATCTACATTTTTTGCATTTTATTAGACACAATACTCAATAGTCAATACATCAAATAGAGAGCAGACTATACTTTTATTGATGAACCAACGGTAATAAATTAGATCGTCGATCGTTGTAAACCTGGGTATACTAACTATACTTGAGAATTTTAAAATCAGATCAGATACAGACAACCAGCTGTAGTAATATACTATCATAAATGTGCCATACAAAAACCACTCACCCACCCCATCCAGATATAAGAAATGTGTGGAAGAGATGCAATTGAAGCATGTGTATAACAGTATTTAAAATGTAATGGTTATATAATTGTATGTAGTCTCTGGAAACTTGTATTAATAATGTGAACTCATATATCTCTGATATATTTATACACAGTTTAATTATGATATATATCTTCATTTTCAGTTTTCATCTTCATCCCCATCCTCTTCAGCCTCGGCCTCCTCCTCAGCTCGCTCCTCTGCTTCTTGCTGGGCAGCCTTAAATGCAGCTTCCTCTTCCACGGATGGGTCTTCTATCTCAGTAAGTTCTTCCATCATAGGATGCTCCTGCCCCACAGGTGGCATTGCTGGTGGGCTGTAGTTGTACAGGCTGTACTTGTGACCAACTCCAATATAGATGTTTTCAAATTTTCTAGAAAACAGGTATTGACTATGAATAACAGTTGACGGGATAGAAATTCTAAGAAACTCAAGGGAAAGCATGGAAAGACCTCATGATCATTTCTATGCTGTATATTATCAAGAGTGCATAATAGAGATCTCTATTATGCACTCTTGATATTATTACATCACCGTGCATTCCCTATATTGCATGCCCACCTATTTGCAGTTCATTTACATGAGTGTACACTGTACACCTAAGAATGTATAGTGATGTCTCTGTAATATTACATATAGCCAATTGCTGTAAGAAATGCAATCTTTGTTTTCAACTTCAATGACTTAAAAAGTTAGAATAAGTCAGGATATTTGCTAGGTTACTCGTGATGAAATAGGTAATCTTGCTTAGAATAAATTTGAACAATATATGGTTTTGTTATTAAGTATTAACCTTCCAGCTGCAACTGTTGCAGCCCCAGGCCAAAGGTTTGATCTCACCACAGCCAATGCAAACTGTGGGAAGTAGTTCGAAGAAAGTTGTGTGCTCCATGGTGCAATATGAGCAATTTCTGTAAGAACAAATGTGAAATAATATATTCTAGCACTGCAATATCGTGGTCGGTAAATTGTTTAAATTTTCAACATTTTTATGCGATATGAATTATTGTGTACGTGACACTGCATCAACACTCAACAGACTAAATTCAAAGATAGTATACTGTAGAAATAACAGTTCTGATGATGGATTAACAAAAATTCTAATAGGACATAAGCTGGTCGATGAAGTGATGCTGTAACCAGGTAGACTGTGACACGAATTTTTCATACGTACCAGCATCTTCAGCGAGTGGGGTGAGAAGAGGTGGTCCTGCTTCTGGAATGGGAGCATCTGTCTCTTCTGCCTCATCATCAAAATTCTCCTCATCCAGTTCTTCACTATCCTTCTTGAATGGGTTGTACCATTTACAGCGACCCTTAAACCCACGGATATATATACAACCAGCTGTTGCAAAGTCTATTTAACATTACTATCGCTGAATACCAAATGCTCAAGAACAGAACATTAGCCAACCTCTAAAAACAGGCAACAAAAAAGAAGGCTATTTCATGGCGCATGTTAGGTGTATTGATCACCTGTTTATGATCATATCAACAAGACATGCAGCAACTCCTTGTGTTATAAGCAGCTACTCAAAAAATAACAGCTACCTGTGGCAGTATGTGCTGGACATGGTGAACCCAGTTAGCCATGTTGCTATCAGCCAAGTCCTTAACAGGGATTGGTTCAAACTCCAAGTTCTCAACATAAGTATCACGTGCTGTTGAGGATATCAAAAAGACTATATTTGGCTAGCATTTTTACTCTTGATATTATTCTCACTAAAAAATCATTTGGATTTTAGTATGATTTTGATTTGGATCATTTATTTTAAAAAGTAATGTAAATGTACTCAGTTAAGCATAGCAATATGTCAACCTCTGTGCCTAATTACTTCTTTATTTGTTAATTGTTAGAAGTAATTCAACGCAAATGTAATATATTCATCACCATCCGTTTCTTCTTGCTCTTCTTCTTCTTCATCAAAGTGATAGAAACCAAGAGGAGAAATCTGTGTGGCAGCACTAATGCGAGCTATCTGTGCTCTCAAATAGTTTGCTTCATTGCCAGGAAATACAGGATAGCTGTTTACCTGTAAATGGATATAGTAGATTGTCACATTCACAGTGAGGAATAAAAAAATTCCTTAAAGAGAATGCATGTTGACACGACATGGAGCCTGCTGGAGGGTTTTTGGATGACCCGTGCTCCCCTAAGAGCTACAGTTTGAGTAAATAGTAAGTGTATATATAAGCAAAGAAAAAATGCTTTCACGATGTGAAACTCATTATTTTTCAGGCACTAACTCAAGAATTTAAGTTTCCCATTGGAACGAGTGCAAGAATAAGTATATACCGGGGCATCTAGGTGTCCTGTGAATAGCTTTCTAATCATTCGTGCAGCCACCATTTGGGCTGGAGTGACAGGAGGGAGTCTGGTCCATGGCATACCAGCTGTGTAACAAATAAACTAATTTTAATGATTTCGCAGTGCACACACGCTTCATATACTCATTGATATAATATATCTACAAACTAACAACAAACATGCCTTCTATAGTATTTGAATAACTAAAGGAAATATCTTTTCAGATGTATACTTATTTTAAAAAAGTGGGGCACTATACCAAATTTATAGTTTACATAGTATTTGTCCTTAAGAGACTTATTAATGACAGTATATTCAGATGCTTGACTCACGTTCTGTGCAGACAAAATAGATCTTTTTGTTGCACCCAACACCATTCTCCTCACGTGGGATAACAGGGGATGGGTTGTAGTCTGGCTTTGGAATAGCATCGTCATCCTGATCATCGCCTATGTTCAGCCCACATACATATACATAGATATTTCATAATGATACATAATGATGATTCATAATTATAATAATAATAACACAGATGCCTGCTTGATAGGCAGTTGTGTCATACATTCCAGTACACTGAACAGCAATCACTTTTAAGTAGTCCTAAAACAACTATGTTATCATTATCAATCCAAAGGTACAATTTACACAGTGCAAATAAGTAATTTTACGTATTTTGTTTACTTGAATTAATTAATGAAATTCATACAAATGCACCAAAGAGAGGAAGAGAAACACAGGAAGAAGGAGAGAGAAGAGGAGAGATCTATACACATGGCAGAATAATGCTACAATCGAACCTGTGTTAGTGGAAACCTCTATTTTACCCTCCTGTTTTTAGAGGACACTTGGTGTTTCTTATAAGTGACAGTTATACAGCAAAAACGCCTGTATAAAACACGAAACTGTCTGTAGAAGAGGAAGACTTGGGAGTTTTCCTTGACTGACCATTATCTACCCCTAAACAGGGTCTCTGTTAGAGCCAGGACACCCAGACTTGTACTCGCCTATGTTAATTATGGTCTCGACTCCTGGCAATTCAGCCTATCAATTATTGGCTTATGGCTGCAACGTTGGCTGCCCTCTCATTAGTACCTGATATTCTTACCGTACACATCCCTGCCCCTTATTATTTGAGCAAAAACCATGCTTTTAGACTGTATAGTATTGTATTGATGTTAACTCTCTATAAGCACTAGGATTTTCCTAAGGCATTTAAAACATGTCAGTTTCAACATGCCTTCAAAGCTGATGCTAATTTTAGACATCCTATAAATCCTTAATTGCTTAATCGTCATGTCTTAATTTCCAGCTGTTTACTTTTGACAATCCCAACACGGTCATGCTGTGTTTTCATCACTTGATGTATACATCTCTGAACTAACCGAGTTTACTTCTGTATCAGGGCTACTTATTACACATGTAATTCACCTCAACTTCTACAACCCCTTCTAGGGCCCTCCCTCATCTGTCTATATGTATGCCTCCTTTAAATTCCTGGAGAGAACCCCGAGCACTATTACGAAGATGAATACCTCCAGCATCTGAATCACGTTCACCATTGCCTTCCTCAACATCATCCTACAAATAGATGTATTAAACAGAGTGTATATGATTTGCATATTAACTATTCATAGCAAGAACATTTCTACTTATCCATATTGTATTCATCCATTTAAGCATTCCACCAGAGATTGAACTTCTCTATTGCTTCATTATACACAGAAAACTATTCAAAAGAATAAACTGCAGAAAGTGAGTATACTTTCTCTATTGGCTCAATGTCTTCTCCATCCCTTGGTTCTGCTTCAGCCACAATATAACTCTGCTGCACTCCTAAAATCTTGCCCCAGAACCTGCCATCATGATAATAACAGTTATTACATAAGCAGAAGTGCCAACATGTTAGTGTACGCATTAAGAGCCATTGACACTATATTCATTGTTTCTTGCTGTGTTTTCATAAAATAAATTTGATCATTACCAGACAATGATGAGTTATTTCTACAGCTCGGCGCTCGCACTACCTGATATGCTGAATGGGCTGTGTTTCAAGCAGCTGCTTGAGGGCCAGAAATATTCTGTACGTTTCCTCTCTGCTGAAGCCAATACCAGCTTGCTCAAACATGAATGCAGACTCCATAAGGTTGCCGAGTGGAGCTCCCAGCTCATCATCATGTCCATCATGCAATTCGAGCTCATCTGGTTTCTAGCAATTCCATTTTTATTACCATGTACATCATTAATGAATTTTCTTGTGTTTTCAAAATTTGACATGTGAAATACATATAATACATGTATTTTTTGACATTATATTTACAATATCTCTAATCTGCAACACTTGATCCTATATGCTCTTGATCCTATACAACCAATTAGTTTTAAAGCTATAACTTACAGTGAAAAGTTTTTTATGCGTTTCAGCTATTTCAACCTCTGTAGAGTCCTCATTTTTGTCTTGTAAAACGTCACTTTCTGGATTAAAAGCAGTTTTCTTTACATCCTTGCTTATATCCTCAAAACTGTCACCAGCATTTTTCGGCCTCTCGTCGAGAACTTTTGTTAGTACTTTACACAGATGATCATATCTGGCAAAAAATAATCAGTTATGAATTTGTAAATACTTTACATACATTACACATTATTAGACTGCGACTATTTCTCCATGCTCTGCACAATGTAAAATTGTAAGAGTAACACTAACTCAATGATGGACAGCAATGCCAATGCGATGGCAATGGGTCATGCCAGAGGCAGAGAGACAGAGGCGAGGGTTATTTAAAGGCTGTGGCTACGGGTACGGGCAGCCGTATCTTAATGTCTCGAGGCTGGAGGTACGGCAGTCCATTCGCTTTCATACTTAACAAGACAAAGATGGCGGCGGGTGGCGCCAGATTTCGAAATAACGCCTTGGGAAATAAATTCATGATCTGAGAGTTTAGATGAGCTAGAACCCTAACCCTAACCCTAACCCAAACGCCAAAGGGGCTTCAACGAACGACGGCTGCCTTACCTCCAGCCACTGCGCTATTTAAATGACAATCAATGAATAATGTTGTGGTTCTGGTGTAAATGCCTGTTTCTTTGCAGCACTGCCAGCAGTGAGTATTTTATTGTAATAACAGTAGACTAGTAACGACTAAAGACTCGAAGAAACATAGCTCCTATAGTCCTACTCCCAGTAGTAGGCCTACTTCGGACAACAGTGTCAGTGTGACACTGTCAACACTCGGTAGGCTCTATTCAATAAGTACTTGTCAGCTAATACTAGTAATAGTAATAGTAATAGAAATACTAATTACTAGTAGTAGTAAATAAGTAATAGCTAGGTGTCATGGGCTATTGTCGAAGTTTTAGCCCGACCGGGATGCGAAATTTTTTTTCCCACTGGAGTTCCGGTCCCCAATCTTTCCACAGCCAATCAGCGCACTCCATTCACTCGACTTCGCTCTTATTTAGCATATGTCATATGTGTGATTTTCAAGAACCCTGTATAGCCGAGCAGGTAGCGCGCCGGCGTTACCACTCAACGGGCATTGGTTCGAATCCCGTGTTTTTTAATTATTTTCCTGTTTTCTGTATTTGTCTATCTTTATCTAACTATTGAGTATTGTTTTCCAATCTATCTTTATCTAAATTTTTAAGCTATTGTTGTTTCAATTAACGCAAATATTTACATGATTTATTTATAACAATTAATTATAAATGTTTTTTTTATTAATTAAAAAGGCAGTGGCTACGGTACGCCAGCCGTATCTTAATGTCTCGAGGCTACGGTACGCCAGTCCATTCGCTTTCATACTTAACGAGACAAAGATGGCGGCGGTCGCGCCAGATTTCGAAAATAACGCCTTGGGAAATAAATTCACGATTTGAGAGTTTAGTATGAGCAAGAACCCTAACCTAACCCTAAACCTACCCTAACCATAACCCTATACCCTAATCTAACCCTAACCCTTAACCCTAACGCAAAAAAAGGGGCTTGAACGACCGATCGGCTGGCGTACCTCCAGCCACTGCGTTAATTAAATTTAATAGTGTTAATTAAATTTAATTAGGGTTAGGGTTAGGGTCCGGAACTGCAGTGGGGAAAAAAATTTCGCGAAGGGGCTCCCCTCTATACTAACGCCGACGTTACGCTCAACGGCTCTAGACTCTACGACTGCTATACGTATTCGTAGTCGTAAGTGAAAAATGGCAATGTTACTGTTAGTTGTTAGCATGTTACTGTCTGATTCAATATCAATGACTTTGTCAATGACAATGCCAATTGCCACGCCACGGTAGGGGGCCTAGTCGGACTCAGTCTTGTCGGTACACTACACCGTCACCGTACGCGGTACGGTAACAAAGTACTTTACAAACTCAAGTTGGTATCAAAGTGATAGGAGATGATGTCCAGTACTGTGATTGGATAGGATGATGTTAGTTGATAAGATAGGACTGGACATCTTCTCTATCCCTGGGCCGTGTGAGTGCTCACACTCACATTCACACTCACACTCACAGTCACACTC